ACTAAGTCTTGCCATGTTGAATAAAATCAACAACTGACGACATTAACACGCCCGTTTAACTCACAACGAGTGAAAAATGTCCATCGGTTAAAATGTTGTGAGCAACTTCCGTTCCTCGTTGTGAGCACCCATCTTTGACGAGTGACACGATAAACAAGGTGAGTTTTTCTTAATTTTTGAAGATTACAGACATTTATGTAAAAATATCGAAATGCAGTTAGCTAGCGATGTGTTTTCCGAGTATGCACATGTAAAGATATTGCCGTTTGGTGGACAATTTGATGGAAATACCGTGCGACGCAGTCACTCTGGGTAGCTGGAAAACTGGAGGCAACTTCTCTTTGGACCTAATTTAACATTGAAAACGTCCATTCTGGTGACGTTCTGTGCATTCTAACCTAAAACAGATGCCCACAAGTCTTCAGCGTAAATTATTATCTGAAAGTCTTCAAAGAAACGAAGATATACAATTTTTTGCTTTAATCCTCGTTGTGAGCACCATAACCTCGTTGTGAGCAAGACGAGCAGTGCGTGTATGGTTGTAATATGTAATTCAGATGGTGAAAATATAATTTTCAATCTACCACAGCAATTAAAACGTTTTTGCACAGCAGCATTTCTTTGCAAGGCGTTGTGCATACCCAAAATGGGGACATATTAGTTTTGAAATGTCCGTCTGTCAGTCCGTCAATCTGTCCGAAAACTAACATTGGCCATAACTTCCTTATTAGTAAACGGATTTGATTCGTATTTGAACACAACATCCCTTAGCACCTTCCTACGGACCTGTATTATTTTACCTTGACTCCTGAATGGCCTTTACATTGAAGGTCAAATTTTCCAAAAACATTTAAGATTGGCCATAATGTCCTGGCATAATGTTAAGGCACACCACATTTTTGGACAAGGCCTTTCAACTATCCGACCTTCACCTTGAAGGTCAAATTGTCCAAAAACTTAAAAATTGGCCATAACTTCCTTATTAGTAAACGGATTTGATTCGTATTTGAACACAACATCCCTTAGCACCTTCCTACGGACCTGTATTATTTTACCTTGACTCCTGAATGGCCTTTACATTGAAGGTCAAATTTTCCAAAAACATTTAAGATTGGCCATAATGTCCTGGCATAATGTTAAGGCACAACACATTTTTGGACAAGGCCTTTCAACTATCCGACCTTCACCTTGAAGGTCAAATTGTCCAAAAACTTAAAAATTGGCCATAACTTCCTTATTAGTAAACGGATTTGATTCGTATTTGAACACAACATCCCTTAGCACCTTCCTACGGACCTGTATTATTTTACCTTGACTCCTGAATGGCCTTTACATTGAAGGTCAAATTTTCCAAAAACATTTAAGATTGGCCATAATGTCCTGGCATAGTGTTAAGGCACAACACATTTTTGGACAAGGCCTTTCAACTATCCGACCTTCACCTTGAAGGTCAAATTGTCCAAAAACTTAAAAATTGGTCATAACTTCCTTATTAGTATACGGATTCTACTCATATTTTGAAACAGCACCCCTTTAGGCAAGACCTTCAAACTGATCTGTTTTTTTACCTTGTACCGTGAATGACCTTCTAGAACATCCAAAAACTTTAACATTGGTCATAACTTCTTTATAAGAAAGTGGAATTAATTCATATTTTGACACAATGCCCCTTTGGACAAGACCTTCCAACTGACCTATATTTATTTCACCTTGACCTTGAATTACCTTCACATTGAAGATCTAATTGTCCAAAAACAAATGATCTATCTGGTGCATAAATCAAAGGACAAAGCAACACTTCAGGGGCATTGTCAACTTACCGTGATTTTTCTTGTTTTACATTATTTGGTCAGTCTTCATCTCAGGATAAACACATGTATGTGTGTATCACACAGATTGTGAAATTGTTGAAATATTCATAAACACCCCGTGATGTTCACTCGTGCCACACTAGAGTATACAAAATAAAATACCTGATTTACCTCCACTGATTAGTTCTTCTGTTAATCTGATGACTTGTGAATATGAAGAATAATTTTCAAAAAAAGAAAAAGAAGAACTATTGCAAAGAAAAACTATTGTACATAAACGTTTTGATTGCTTTTGGTCAATTGAAAATTGTATTCTTGCCATTTGAATTACATATTAAAACCAGACAAGCACTGCGCTTGTCTTGCTCACAATGAGGTTATGGTGCTCACAACGAGGATTAAAGCAAAAAAGAGTATATCTTCGTTTCTACGAAGACTTTCAGATAACAATTTACGCTGAAGACTTGTGGGCATCTGTTTTAGGTTAGAATGCACAAAACGTCACCAGAATCGACGTTTTCAATGTTAAATTAGGTCCAAAGAGAAGTTGCCTCCAGTTTTCCAGCTACCCCGAGTGACTGCGTCGCACGGTATTTCCATCAAATTGTCCACCAACAGGCAATATCTTTACATGTGTATACTCGGAAAACACATCGCTAGCTAACTGCATTTCGATATTTTTACATAAATGTCTGTAATCTTCAAAAATTATGAAAAACTCACCTTGTTTATCGTGTCACTCGTCAAAGATGGGTGCTCACAACGAGGAACGGAAGTTGCTCACAACATTTTAACCGATGGACATTTTTCACTCGTTGTGAGTTAAACGGGCGTGATTAAGCTGATAATAATCTTACATGACACTTTGGAAAAATCCTTGATTTTTGCACGCATTGTTTTACAAAATATGTACTTTGATAATTAAATCATGAATCCTGAATAATTGTATACAATTACTATCATACACGCATAATATTTAACAACAAATACAACAAAGGACAAATGACAAATAATAGCGTATGTATACTCTTTTTAAGTCCCTGTACCTCAAAACTTTAATAGTTTAATATGATAAACCTGATACTCAAATAAATTGTTACTAATATTACAAATCTTACATAGATATTATCGAATTTAAAGTTCTGTAAATAAAGGGAGGTAATTTGAAACACATTTTGATAAATACTTTGCTCATCATTAAAATAAAAAGTGTATTATTTCTAAAAGAAAAACATATAATGAACCTAAAAAAATATGTGTTATGTCAACATTTTATTGTATGTTCATTTTGTTGTAAGGAAGTTGGTATATATATTCTTGCTTAAAGATCCTGTATGTTTTTACCCAACTAGCATATTGCGAAAAATTGCCGTTTTCATTGAAAAGCCTCCTGTAACAAGTTCAAACTGCTATGAAACTATGAAAAATGCTTCCTTCAATACTGATGAACATCGGCACAAATGTTGACTACACTATAGCTTCTGTAACAGCATGCTTAATCGTTAAATTCCTGTTACCATGGCAACGGGCGGACGTCTCAAAATTGCCAAAAATCACTATTTTGCATTGGGTTTTTTCCCCATCAAAACTGATTTTGAAGTGCTGCAACTTCTCAGTGAATTGAGATAGAGTAAAAGGTTTTTCACTGTTTGAGGCCTCAAAAAGTGTGTGTGTGGGGGGGGGCAAAAAGCCGTCGAAACACGCTTATGTAAAGGGAAAGGTTTAGGATGTAACATCCTTGCGAAAGTTGTATATAAAGTCAGTTCTTATGAATAACATATACTTAAGAAGTTGACATTATTAAACACATTATATGATATTTCTTGAGGAAAAATGTTTTGAAATTTTTATTTGAATGCAAAACTCATTTTTTTTTATAAAAAAACAGATTTCTAATTATCTCCTTTTATTATCAGAAATTTTAAATTTTGGAAATATCCTTATCAAAAAGGTTTTCTGTAACTTTTAACATTAATAATTCTTTATTTAAGCCAAATATTTTTCATATAAGAACATACAATTTTGAGTCACAGGATCTTTAAGTGTATGTTACATATTTAATTATAACATACCATCAACCAATGATGTTGTATTTTGCAAATATTTTACTCAAAGTTTTAGCAATGAGGATTAATTATATTTTCACAGAACCGAACAGACCTTCATCTTATAAGCAATTCGTCATAAGGTATGAAAATAGGAATTCTGTTTGCTCAAACATTCGGAACGAAAATTTTGGAATTTCAAGGTTCAGTGATCGATAACAAATGAGATATCCATGAAAACTGGAGTAACCAAAATTCCGCCTGCTCATGCGTTCATTTTGCAATCTGATAAAACCACATGAAAAGTTCGGCTCATGCGTTCATTTTGAAAATTTGCTTAAACGATATTATACTCCAAAAATACGAAATAGAAATAGAACAGGCGTTTGGTGGATGAGGATATGTTAATAAAGAACCTTTAGAGCGATACAAATGTTAAGAAGTTTGCTTGGATGTCAAGTTATTGGCTATCAAAGAGCGATTTTACCAATTTTGTGATTTTTCTTGTGCAGTTGTCGATAATGATCTAATAAGTTAACAAAGATTTGGCGAGTTTGAGATGCCTGTCGGATAAAGTAATCATACGAGATCAGAATAGGCTATAAAGTTTTGTGAAGTATGCATTTACAAAGAAATTGAAGACACTTTTCTTACCACAGTATCGGTTTTCCACCTGTAAAATTGATCTCTTCATGCGTTCTCCGCCTGGGAAACATAGTGAACGATTGGACTCGGTGTATATGCTGAACATAAACAAAGAGTACTACATGTAATGTCAAAGATACTGCTAAAAAATATTTTATTTTAAAAAGGGAAGTAGTTGGACTACTGAAAGGTATCAATTTGATTTTCTGAATATTATTATTAAAGACATAAGCAACGCCGATCTTCTTAGCTATCCGCTACTGCCTAAACAACTGTAAGTAAGTCGAAATTTCGAGTTAATAAGTCGAAATTTCGGGTTAATAAATCGAAATTTCGAGTAAATAAGTCGGAATTTCGAGATAATAAGTCGAAATTTCGAGTTACTTAGTCGAAATTTCGGGTTAATGATTCGAGTTAATTAATAAGTCGAAATTTCGATATCCGAAGATTGACGGACAGTGTCGAAAAATTTACGATCCGAAGACTGGCGGAAGGAACCGAAAAGTTGCGATTGTCATTACGTGTGTGCTTGAAATTTTCCTTTTTTATGGAAACGGAGAATGAAACATGTGATTACATGTAGGAAAATGAGTTGTTTTTTATTAAGATAGTTCGGTTCTTTGACGAAATCACTTTCACCTATACCTGTTAATCCAATTTCTCAATTATCACACGTTTTCGCGAAGGAAGGCAATACACATTTGTCTGAAAAAAGTGGTAAGTCATATTCTTGATGTGATTTAACATTTCTCTAGTTTTTACAGTGTTTTATTAATATTTAAATTTCAAATAGATAAATTTGATCTCTGTGACAACAAAATACAAACTGACAAAATTTGGCAATCTCCTGGATTAGACCCCTTTGTATGATTTCGAGACGTTTCTGCCCCAAGACATATCAGCCCCAAATTACCCAAGACGTTTCGGCCCCAGACGTTTCGGGCCTTTACCAAATCAGTCCCTGATTAAGTACTGTGTTTTAAACCGGTATATTAAAATTTCATAGTTATAATAATCATAAATGACAATTTTCATGAAGTGTAGCCTAATTAATTCGGAGTGAACGGTTTGACCCATTTTACAGACTTTTTTTCTTACTGTCAAACCGTTACGCCTAATTTTAACTGTCATTTTTACGCACGGAAAATCTACCGGCAACACTTTCGATAGTTTGGACTGATTTTTACTGCTTAAACCTGAAAGTAACTTCAATTACCTCTAAAGATCAATAGAATATAAATTTTAGTACTAACTTCTCCTAAAAAAATATTAGATTGTACCTGTCTTAACGCATACATGCGATTTATTTCAAATTTGTACTGTCTACTCTATCTTCGGCGGACATGTTATGACGTCATCGTAAAAAATCGATTCCGTGAAAGCTGGTAGTAGCTACCAGTGTGTCTAGCAGGTAAGTGTGGGTTACGCATGAAGATTAAATTAAACAAAATATCGGGGGAAATAAATCTATTCATTATTTTTTAATAAATGTGTGCATTATTAAATACTATTGAAAAGTATCATTGTATTTAACCTAAAATGCAATGGTCGCAAATAGGCTCCGTACAAGTACTGTTGTTTAATATTTTTTAAATATTTTAATACATGTACTCAACATTTATCAATTGGTGGTTTGCCTTCTTGTTTAGTGCTAATGACTGCCAAATGTCACTCTCGGATAAAATACTGACTTCATTTATACATGCATATTTATATGACAATTAAGAACGTAAAAGAAATATTGAAGGAAACTATTTGAAATACACTTCAAATTATTCAGTATTTGTACAAATAATATTTCAAGAGCTCTTTTTCACCGATTGCCGATATATAATACCATATTAAACCAATTGATAAAGTTAAATGTCTTCTTGACATACTTTATTAATTTACTAAAAAGGAACTTTATTGTGATCCAGCCATATGCTGTGTAACTATAAAAGAAGGGTCACATATTTTAATTGAAATAAATTTTAAGTAGAGGATATTAAAAAAAAGTCATTGAGAAGATCAGAATTTTCAAATGAACAGATTAAGAGACTTATAAATGTATAAGGTGTATGTCTTGTTGTTTCATACTGTTTTGGTGACACTTTTGTTTGTGTCCCTTGTTGTTTTCTCGTCTATGGTAAGTATCTTCCCTTTGCCCCTAGTTTTATTTCTTTATTTCGCCCCTCCCCCGAATTTCCTACCCCATTTCCCTGCGCCCGTTAACTTAGTGGTCCTGTTTCATACTGTTTTGGTGACCCTTTTGTTTGTGTCCCTTGTTGTTTTCTCGTCTTTGGTAAGTATCTTCCCTTTGCCCCTAGTTTTATTTCTTTATTTCGCCCCCTCCCCCTTCCCCGAATTTCCTATCCCCTTCCCCTGTGCCCGTTAACTTAGTGGTCCTATTAATCATTCATTTATTTATTTTCTTTGATTTCCTTCTCAGTTGCATTTTAGTGATAAGCCTGACCGTGCTCTCCCTTGTGCCCTGTCCCGTTTTAATTTAGGATCCTCCTGGGCTCCTTGCCAATGGTTCTTGTTCCTGGGTCGTGTGGGGGTTGCGTTCATTGAACGCCGCCTTTCCTTGTTCATCTTGTTTATTATATTGTATACATGTATACCGAACCGTAACAAACAGATAATGATTATCAATACAAGGTTCGGCAAGCAAGCAAAGAAATGTAAAGAAAACAGAAAAAACTTATCCACATACATGTATCCACCCTCCAAAAAAAAAACCCACCAAAAACGCCTGAAACTGCAAAATCGAAACATAAATACACATGAGTGCCAAAGACGGCTCTGGTAGGTGCAAGTTGAAATTTTTAATCAACATCCACAGATGTGTACATAATACGGCGGTAATCATGGAACTTTCAATGTGACACATTCGAGGTGCCGTTCAATGAAAAGCGGGAACTAGCGGGAACATGGAATTTTAAATTGGTATCAGAGGTTTTGGTGTCCTTTTGCGACAGTCGTTCTAACATTTCTCCCATCTGTCTTACATTGTTATGCTATTCAACGTCTAAATAACGGTCACTAAATTTCCGCTTGCTGCGTTTTTATCATAAACCCCGTCATATCTGTGCGACAATTGTATTTTACTGAGGACTGTCTGAAATTCCATTTTACAGTTTGAAATTTTAAGATTTTTTTTTCAGAATTTTAAAGTTATTTTTGGTTGTTTTGAACTTCTTCCCCTACACAACCGTCCTCAATTTCTTTTAAATATAATAAACTAGAAATTGATATGGAGTGTAATATAAATTGAAATTCTTCTTTGCTTCATCATGTATAGTATAATTATAATTCATTAAGATGTACCTACAATTACATTGTATTTTCGTATGTGGGAAATCATGGCAGGGTTATAAAATAAAAAGGTAGTTCAGAAATTTCACCTAATGATCACAGATGTTAAAAAATCCAACTTAATAATATCTAATTTAACAATTTAAACGGACTGTTAAATGCAGTATGATCTGACATCGGACATCATAAACTATTTAATTTCTAAGTAAGGTTATCAGAATTTCCTTTTCACATTCTATTTTTAATGCTAAAATATTTGTGTGTGAATAAAAGAGTTATTCCTGCAATAATTCATATAAAAAACATAAACAAATTGTATAATAAAGGTTGGCAAATACAATCGATTGCCGCCGATACCTGTGTTACACCATGGAAATTTACAATTTTACGGTCTTTTACCATGACACCGCTTTCCAATATGGCCGCTTTCAATAATTTTCAACGATTACAAAATGAAAGTGGAATATTTAGACTTCTGTTCGACTTTGAAGTATGATAATTTGGAACCTTGCATAAAAAACGATTCTCTTTCAGGTAATGTAGACCGTTTCTTTGAAACTTTTCTAGTTTTCGCTCCCAACAACTTCTAATTGGGAAGCGTCCGTGCATAAAAATGCAGTTCGTGGTTGGACTTGGAAAAAGACAGCGCCCGTCCAAAATTATCTCGGTGTCTCTTTGACAAGTCTAATTAGTTGGACTACATGAAGTGGAACGTCAATTTCCAAGTACCTTGAAAGATTTATGATGACTTGTATATTTAATTTTACGTAAAAGATTAAATATTTACCAAAACCATCAAAGATTAAATACTTGTTGCATTTAATGTTAACTTCAATGTTTATAAATATCTCACAATAAATAGCTACTCGTAATTATTTCCTTGATACTGAAAAAATCTAACACATTTAATTATCAGGTAAGGAAAGTTAGTTGTTCATGCACATGAAAATCGAAACATTCGGTCATGTAATTTTACAATGAAAAAAAAACTGAAGCCATAATATCTATAATTCTTTTGTCACTGTCAACATTGTTTGATTAAACTAATTAATAAATATATAGCAGGTACATAGCATTTATAATTTGGTTTCAGTCTTTCAATCACTTTTATAACATCTAGCATCTATCATTATCTTTACTAAGTTTTCTCTGATATTACTTACATAAAGCTATAAACAGTTAATTAGTTACACCTTGAAAAAAATACGTAGGCCTATAGTTTAATTAAGATAAAAAAATAATGTTTTCTAAGGAATAATTGTAATTAACTTTCTTAATCAAGAAGTTTTAGTGGTTTGTTTTATATATTAAGGATAAACCTGCCTTTATTGTTTGTTACACCTTTAAAAACATTAATGTATATCTAAATGGTTCAAGAGATCAAAAGATAATAAATAATTATTTAAAGAATTAAAGTGTCATAATTGTTAATTGTAATTAAATTAATTGTTGTTAATTAATTTAATTAATTGTCTGTACTATATGGTAGGGCCGAAACGTCCAGGGGCCGATTTTTCCACTGGGGCCAATTTGGTTTGGGACCGAAATGGCCTGTTTGCCTTTGTATATTGGAAGTGGCTAGCCATACGGGCCAAAAGTTCTAGCCGTTCGTGAGTCACTTACGGCTACTCAGGACACACTGAATTGTCTAGCCGTACGGCACTTTTCAAAATTATATGAAAGTCGAAAATGCATATGTAATTTTATGTCTTTAAGTGAGGATTTTAACAAAGAAACAGCTATTGTGTTCGTTTGTTTACTTTTTAGCTCGACTATTCGATATGAATAAGTAGAGCAATTGTAGTCACCCGAGCGTCGGCGTAACCACTTATGTTAAGTTTTTTTAATACCTCAAATATTTTCAAAGTCCATTGACATATGGCTTTGAAACTTTGCACACTTGTTCACCATCATGCCCCCAACCTGTAGACAGGAGGGGGTACCTCTATCAAGCATTTTGACAGAATTTTGCCCCTTTTTCGACTTAGAATTTACGTTAAAGTTTTTGTAATACCTCAAATGTTCATAAGGCTTTGAAACATGTTGAAATTTTATACTCTTCTTTGATAGCATAATAGGACCGACTCTCTCCAATGCCTATAACTGTAATATGGATTTAAAGAAAAATTTTGCATTTTTCTCTTTACTGAGAAAATTTCACTTTTTAATCAAGGCTTTTTTTACTATGAAGCACTAAGAATAGTCGAGCGTTGCTGTCCTACCGACAGCTCTTGTTAGATATCAATAGCCGTGTTGCTAGTCAGTACAGTAAAGAAAGTAGGAATATCGATCTTTTTTTGTCATCCCCAGACGGCAAGAAAAAAGTGTTAATTAAGTTGCAGTTGAATTACATCAATTGAAATCGTTTACATGGTTATAATAATATTAATATTCTTTTTTTGTTTCAATAAGTTTAATTCTCAATACCTTTAAAATGAAAAAAAAAAAAGAAACACGAAAATATTTATTGTCGGACTCTAATAATTGCGTCAATTACTGACTGTAAAAGTTTGTCCGCCAGTAATTTGGAAAGTTTGCATGTTCTGTGAAATGCATTTTTAATTAAGGCTAATTGATTATGATTTTTATCTATAAATTTTATATTCAAAAATAAAATTATAAATATTAACAGACGATGCCAGGGTGCTAGTGAGAATACATTTATTTTTGAAAGCGACGAAAACAAACTTTTTTGACCGTTATATGATTATTTATTCCATGTGCCTAATTAAGAAATAAATGATTTAATAATTCATCTTTCATACAAATAAAATAACAAATCATAAGCATAAAAAACACAGACTGTAAAAGACATTATATATGTAACTTTGACATTTATTCAGTGTTCGAAATTAGCAGTAGTCTGATAGCCCCTTACTACTAAATTTCTCCTTGGGCTACCAACTTTTCACAGTAACAAGCCCGACCAGGCTACCATACTTACAGAGGCAATATAAACAACTGTTTTGAACAAATGAATCATGCTAGTGAAGGGCTGCTAGGTGGGTCAAACATGACTTTGGACGTACGTCAAGTGTCACTGACATGATGACTTCCCTTCAATTGAGGTGCCTTGACCTTCGGCGTATTGACCAACGCCTGGTCATGTTTCACAACATCTTGCATGACCAGGTGGCTATCCCTTTCCCAAAGAAGATCATCCCTCTTACAAGATCATCTAGAACATCCCATCTCCATGCATTCCAATAAAATCCAAACTAAAACTGATTACTATAAATATTCATTTTTCCCAAGAACAATAGTCCACTGGAATGCTTTACCACCTGATATCATAAACTTGTCTGGCCCCGAGTTCAGTCTGGCTGTAAGCCGGATTGAACATACATCTCCCTAAAAAACCTATTCTGTTTTTAACAATATACTTATTTCCATTACTTTTATATTCTTTTATTTCAACTCTTTTACTAACATTTTTGTCGGTTGACGCGCGTCAAGTCTAGGTCCCCAGCAGAGGTTTGACTATATCGAAGATAGATAGATAGATAAATTTATGTCTTATGGGATAGTTAATATTCCAATCTGGTAGTCCGACAAGCCTAGTGGATTCAAATCCGAATTTCTTACACTGTTTATTTGTACATGCATTTCCATCATACATTTTCTTTTTTTCACAGAATGGCGGAACATCATTATTAAAGTAAACATGTGGACAAATGCGGGCTCTTTCTTAAAATACCCATTTCAAGACACAAAAAACATGTGCATTTTCGACATTCATATAATTTTGAAAAGTGCCGTACGGCTAGACAATACAGTATATCCTGGCTAGTGGTACGTGACTCACGTACGGCTAGAACTTTTGGCTAGCCGTACGGGCCCGGGGTTTTTCTTACTTAATTGAGCAGAGGCCTTACCCTCATGGTTTTTGGGAACCATTATTGATTTTTTCTTGCAAAATTTGACATGATCTACTGTTTTTAGCTCACCTGTCACAAAGTGACAGGATGAGCTTTTGTGATCGCTTTTCGTCCGGCGTCCGTCCGTCCATCGTCCGTCCGTAAACTTTTACTTTAAATGACATCTTCTCATAAACCACTAAGCCAATTTCATCCAAACTTCACAGGAATGTTCCTTTGGTGGTCACCTTTAAAAATTGTTCAAAGAATTTAATTCCATGCAGAACTCTGGTTGCCATGGCAACCGAAAGAAAAAACTTTAAATATCTTCTTTTAAAAATTCATAAGAGCTAGAGCTTAGATATTTGGCATGAAACATCTTCTAGTGAGTGTCTACCAAGTTTGTTCAAATAAAAGCCCTGGGGTCAAAATTGGCCCCGCCCCGGGGGTCATTGATTTTCCCTATATGCATATAGGGCCGTCCTTAAAAAAATGTTTGTTTGCAGTAACCCGACCCAGAATTTTCAAGGTGGGTAGGTAGGTCGATTTATTTTTTTATTATTTTTTTTTATTGAACTGTACTCCCAAATAAACATGGAATTTCAAAATGCTGGACAATATATGCTTTGATAATCTGGTAACAATTAATAAATTGATAACTGAATTCTAATTTAATAAGAACTACATTTTATTTCTTCTATTAACCTTTAAAAAAACGAAAACAAAGCACAAGGCATAATTTTCTGATTAAAAAAAAAAATATTTTTTTATCCAGACCATGACAAAAAATTTGAGTAGGGGCAAATTTTGTGAGTCGGTCGCGTTACTGCAAACAAACATTTTTTTTAAGGATGGCCTAGTAAAAACTTAAAAAATCTTCTTTTAAAGAACCCAAAGAGCTAGAGCTAAGATATTTAGCATGAAACATGTTCTAATGGATGTCTACCAAGTTTGTTCAAATAAAAGCCCTGGGGTCAAAATTGGCCCCGCCCCGGGGGGTCATTGATTTTCCCTATATGCATATAGTAAAAACTTAAAAAATCTTCTTTTAAAGAACTCAAAGAGCTATGGCTAAGATATTGAGCATCGAACATGTTCTAATAAGTGTCTACCAAGTCTGTTCAAATAAAAGCCCTGGGGTCAAAATTGGCCCCGCCCCGGGGGGGGGGGGGGTCATTGATTTCCCTTTATGCATATAGTAAAAACTTAAAAATCTTCTTTTAAAGAACCAAAAGAGTTAGAGCTAAGATATTTAGCATGAAACATGTTCTAATAAGTGTCTACCAAGTTTGTTCAAATAAAAGCCCTTGGGTCAAAATTGGCCCCACCCCGGGGGTCATTGATTTTCCCTATATGCATATAGTAAAAACTTAAAAAATCTTCTTTTAAAGAACTCAAAGAGCTATGGCTAAGATATTTAGCATCAAACATGTTCTTATAGGTGTCTACCAAGTTTGTTCAAATAAAAGCCCTGGGGTCAAAATTGGCACCGCCCGAGGGGGTCATTGATTTTCCTTATATGTGTATAGCAAAAACTTAAAAAATCTTCTTTGAAAAAACCCAAATAGCTAGAGTTAAGATATTAAGCATGAAACATCTTTTAGTGAGTGTCTACAAAGTTTGTTCAAATAAAAAGCCTTGGGGTCAAAATTGGCCCCGCCCCGGGGGTCATTGATTTTCTTTATATGTGTATAGCAAAAACTTAAAATCTTCTTTGAAAAAACCCAAATAGCTAGAGTTTAGATATTAAGCATGAAACATCTTCTAGTAAGTGTCTACAAAGTTTGTTCAAATAAAAGCCCTGGGGTCAAAACTGGCCCGGCCCCAGGGGTGTCATTGTTTCTAAGTATGTGTGTATAGTAAAAACTTTAAAAAATCTTCTTTTAAAAAGCCCATGAGCTGGAGCTTAGATGTTTAGCATGAAACATCTTCTTATGGGTGTCTACCAAGTTTGTGCAAATAAAAGCCCTTGGTTAAATTGGCCCTGCAACGTTGGGGGGGTGGGGTTGGGGGGCCTATATACAGGTGAGCGACCTCAGGGCCATCATGGCCCTCTTGTTAGTTGTGTCAGCTTTATATGACAGGTTTTAATTTTGTTCCCCCCCCCCAAGTTATTTGAAGTTGAAGGAAGAAACACCATCAAACCAAAATGGAGAGTAATACTACACAAAAATGCCCAGTGTTCAAAATCTAAAGTTGTCTTCTTTCTTGCAAATTGAACAAGTCTAGTTGTTAACCAACTTTTACAAACTTTTTTCTATTGTCAGTCATTTAATGCCTTTCAGCTGGATAAAACTAATCCAGAAACATTCCCTGTAGACTATTGCTAAGGCAAAAACAGCCTAAAATCAATACATTTGCAGTCAACTATGAATGTGTCTTAATTATACAGAACATAATCATATGAACACCTAAATAGGTGTTAAATAATGATTTAGGAGGTCATGAACAAAGTTGTTTTTATTATATGTTAGGTCATTTTTACAGGCATTGTTCAATCTGATATATCTTACAACTTGTATACATTGTACTTAGATTACAACTTATATGTTTGATGTGCATTAATACATTGATTCATTGAATGATTGTGGTTATTATACGTATTGAATAAGTAATATATAAATGATTTATCCCACACCTGTGCCGATTTTGTGACTCCGTAAATATGGTATTGCATAGCCGTGCATATATTTTGACGTGACATCATTTGCGTTATACAAACATAGTGTAAAGACGCGCTAAATGTTAGCGTTATACTATGGGAAAAATGACTCTTATTTCACTTGAAACGGTCTTTATTTTGGGTATGTGATAAATAGAATATTAAATTCGTGTAAGTTCAATACTGAATACTGAAAGAGGCTCGCATAATATAATTTTATTCAACTTGTGCAATAAATTCAGTATTGAACTTACACTCATTCAATATCCTCTATATATTGTTTTTTCAGGTGCATAGAAAATTAACATGTCTCCTATGAAATGCCATTATGAGGTTCTTGGAGTTCAAAGGGATGCAAATGCTGAGGAGCTCAAAAAGTCATACAGAAAACTTGCACTTAAATGGCATCCTGGTAAGTCTTTTTCATTGTCTATTAATCAGATTTAGAGGGGTTTTTTTCCAGTATATTGAAAATATGCCTAAAATTGTGGGATTGGGAATTTTAGCAATAATGTTAAAATGTTAAACAAACCATGTACATGTATAAATATATACATTTTTTTTACTATATGATTGTTGGAGCAATTACGATTCTTATTATTCTTGTGATATTTGTTGTTTTTCTTTGTATACTTCAAAGCTTCATATCACAATAATTTCTATGTCTGTGTGATTTAAGACAAGAACCCTGATAATATAGATGAGTGTACTCAACAGTTCCGGTTGGTCCAGCAGGCCTATGAAGTATTGGGAGATCCACAAGAACGAGCCTGGTATGACAAACATAGAGAAGCTATTCTACGAGGAGGTATGATGTTATCTTTTAATGTTTCTAACTCAGTGTCTATTCTAGGATTCAAAAAACAGGGAGGATTTTTATCGAAAAGTGAGAATTTACTACATTTGCTGATCTTTTTCCTTCTTTCTCTACTGGTTCGGATCACCAAAACCATTAAATTCCAAAATTTGGAAGTCAAGAGACTCAGTGTAAAATGTCTGACATTGACAGTCATCTTATTTAGGTAAAGAAGGAAAAGCATTATACTTCTGACATCTCAAAACAAAATCAAGGAGTAAATAACTCCCAAACTTCCACAAACAGATGCCCTGCAAAACAATAAAGTCATAATATCATAATTGTTTAACTGTAAACTATTTCAGGACTTGGTCAAGGTGATAATTATGAAGACAATTGTTTAGATGTATTCCAGTATTTCAACTCCTCTTGTTACCAAGGTTACGGTGATGATAAAGAGGTATGTACAATTTGTTTGTTTGTTTGATTGGGTTTTATGTCACACCAACACAGTATAGGTCATATGGCGACGTTCCAGCTTTACTTGTGGAGGAAAACCTCAGGTGCCCCTCAGTGCATTATTTCAGGCACAAACGGGCAACTGAGTAGAACCACTGATGTTCTGTAAGCCAGCTGGATAACTTCCTCACATGAAAGAATCCAAAGTCCCTGTTGGGATTCGAACCCAGAGTGGTAAGGGGCAAGTGGTTTGAAGTCAACGACCTTAACCTGTCAGCTACGGATGCCCCATGTATGTACATGTAACAAACCATATATGTTCTTCTTCAAACTTCTACCTGTATAGACAATATTATAAAATAGACTTTATTTTGATTTTTATTCACAATTACATTGAATTTAAGGAATTGCAAATGTATATTCATCTCTAGCTTTATCTTTTTTGGTGGAGAAATAAAATGTCTTTTATTTTTCTGATTTTAGGGATTTTATGGTGTGTATGATGAGGTATTTAAAACATTGGCTGAGGAGGACAGGCAGTTTGTGGAAGAGGAAGATTTTGTTGTCTATGATTTTGGTGATTCTAAATCAGTTTATGAAGAGGTTTGTAAAGGCATTGATATACAATTGAATTGATAAAAGATTTCAAAAGTATTCATGAATATTATGATACTTTATCAAGATTTAACAAAAGGGCCATGATGGCCCTGAGGTCGCTCACCTGTATATAGGCCCCCCCAACCCCCACCCCCCCCAAACGTTGCAGGGCCAATTTAACCAAAGGGCTTTTATTTGCACAAACTTGGTAGACACCCATAAGAAGATGTTTCATGCTAAACATCTAAGCTCTAGCTCATTGGGCTATTTAAAAGAAGATTTTTTTTAAGTTTTTACTATACACATATAGTTAAAAACAATGACACCCCTGGGGCCGGGCCAGTTATGACCCCAAGGTTTTTATTTGAACAAACTTTGTAGACACTTACTAGAATATGTTTCATGCTTAATATCTAAACTCTAGCTATTTGGGTTTTTTCAAAGAAGATTTTAAGTTTTTGCTATACACATATAAGGAAAATCAATGACCCCGGGGCGGGGCCAATTTTGACCCCAGGTCTTTTATTTGAACAAACTTGGTAGACACTCACTAAAAGATGTTTCATGCTTAATATCTTAACTCTAGCTATTTGGGTTTTTTCAAAAAAGATTTTTTAAGTTTTTGCTATACAAATATAAGGAAAATCAATGACCCCCCCCCCCCCGGGGCGGGGCCAATTTTGACCCCAGGGCTTTTATTTGAACAAACTTGGTAGACACCTATTAGAACATGTTTGATGCTAAATATCTTAACCATAGCTCTTTGAGTTCTTTAAAAGATGATTTTTTAAGTTTTTACTATATGCATATATAGTGAAAATCAATGACCCCCCGGGGCGGGGTCAATTTTGACCCCTGGGCTTTTATTTGAACAAACTTGGTAGACACTTATTAGAACATGTTTCATGCTAAATATCTTAACTCTAACTCTTTTGGTTCTTTATAAGAAGATTTTTTAAGTTTTTACTATATGCATATAGGGAAAATCAATGACCCCCTGGGGCGGGGCCAATTTTGACCCCAGGGCTTTTCTTTGAACAAACTTGGTAGACACCTATTAGAACATGTTTGATGCTCAATATCTTAGCCATAGCTCTTTGAGTTCTTTAAAAGAAGATTTTTTAAGTTTTTACTATATGCATATAGGGAAAATCAATGACCCCCCGGGGCGGGGTCAATTTTGACCCCAGGGCTTTTATTTGAACAAACTTGGTAGACACTCACTAGAAGATGTTTCATGCCAAATATCTAAGCTCTAGCTCTTATGGTTTTTTAAAAGAAGATATTTAAAGTTTTTTCTTTCGGTTGCCATGGCAACCAGAGTTCTGCATGGAATTAAATTCTTTGAACAATTTTTAAAGGTGACCACCAAAGGAACATTCCTGTGAAGTTTGGATGAAATTGGCCTTGTGGTTTATGAGGAGATGTCATTTAAAGTAAAAGTTTACGGACGACGGACGGACGACGGACGCCGGACGAAAAGCGATCACAAAAGCTCACCCTGTCACTTTGTGACAGGTGAGCTAAAAAGCTAAAAGTTTATTAATTTTCATCACATTCCCATGAAGCTTTTGTGACTTTGTGAACTCAGTGAATAAAATAATATATTGCTCGCCAGAGGCTCGCATAATATAATTTTATTGAAGTTGTTTGATAAATTCAGTATTGAACCTAGACTGGTTCAATATTCTCTATGAAGTGAATAGAGATCGGATTATTTTCAGCATTAAACTAAATAAGTGAAAAAAGAACTTGACTTTTTCAAAATCTAATTATATGTGTAACTTAAAGTAATTAAGATTACCTGAATCTTTGATAATATGAATTAAACAGGTAGTGAAACCATTTTATGACTACTGGGAGAGTTACTGTACAGCTAAGTCGTATGTATGGGTAGAGAAATATGATACAAGAGAAGCCCCAGATAGGAGGGTACGCAGACTCATGGAGGCAGAGAATAAGAAACTCAGAGATGCTGCTAAAAAAGAGAGAAATGAAGAAATAAGGGTAATGGTTTTCAAATATGGCGATTATAACCTTTATCATGTAATATTATGTTTGTAAACTTGTCATTGCTTTTGATACTACAATGTGTTTAATCATTAGAGTGCTTCAGTTAAGCAAACAGCAGTTTAAAGCCTTGTCAGTCTACGCATACATGTATACTGGTAACTTAGGCAAGTCATCATTGCTGTAAAGCATTTAAGGTGACAACAGACACTTTTCGTGGTACTCACATAAATGTCATTTAAACCAACTTATTTTAGTAATAATTGTTATCTATTTAATCTTTGTGCATTAAATGTCGTTGATCATCATAAAAAATAACATATTTGAAAAAAATGCCTTTGTAAATGATTGATTTTTAATAAAAATCCAAAAAATTTTAAATCATCATATCAAAGTCATTTTTTATTTTTTTGTCATCAAACTTTTGGAAAATAAACATACTTATAATATCTGGGGAACCGTGTCTCAAATTTTTTCTATCTTTTCTCAAAAAAATATTACGTAACGTCAAACATTTTATGCGACTTTTTTCACCATACATATTACGTAATTAAAGATAATTAAGTGGCTGATTGAGCAAACAAAAATCCCTGACACGGTTCCCTCTGTAAATAAATTACCTTTCATGTGCTTTAAACCGCATGTTAATTGCTTGATTATTAAAAAAGTTATGCTGATTCAAAGTTAGTCCGACCCGCATCAAACGAAGTGTCATAAATCGGCTGTTCTCTCTCGGACCCCTATGTTTCACGCTAAATAATTGCATAATACACAAATATCGCACCAGAGAGGGTCACAAGTTGCGGTAACATACTCTAACAACATTTTATGACCCAGTGACATCTGACCAATTAAAAAGTTGCTGATTAATATCAGTTTATAACAGAAATTTCTTCAAATCTTAACGTGATTTACCGTCCGTCTGGTATCGGTCGCACATGTCACGTGACTTTCGGTAAAATTTGAGGCACTCGGTGGGGGAAATGGAACGTATTTGCGCACCGCTAGCGGGGTATATAATTGTTTCACTTTTGAAAATCATCAGCATTATTTTTATATTATACCAGTGTCACTCCGTGTATTCGCTTATGAAATTCCGTTAAAATATAAATTAAAATAACAAAAAACTGAGCTTCTGACGGTCTTTTAAAGTCCATGGTAGATGTACAAATAAGAACGGGATATTATATATTTTTTCCTCCAAATTGATATAAATGCTTAACATATTTTAATAGAAATAAAAGGTATCACTCGATCAATAAGATCTGACCTTTTTAACCAGGTTTTCCGAAGGAAAAAACTGGTTATTAGATTGAGGTATGTCGGCGGGCGGACGGGCGGGCGGGCGTAAACAATTTCTTCTGTGCGCAACTCCTCCTACATTTCTCAACGGATTTTGACCAAACTTTCACAGAAGCTTTGTCATCAAGTGCCCTGGCGCATATTGTCGGGGTTTTGCGATTAGATAATATTTGACCTAATTATGGCCCTTTGTTTTTTTTTCCTTATATAAAATATATAGTGAACAATTTCTTCTGTGCGCAACTCCTCCTACATTTCTCAACGGATTTTGACCAAACTTTCTCAGAAGCTTTGTCATCAAGTGCCCTGACACATATTGCCAGGGTTTTGCAATTGGTATATATTTGACCTAATTATGGCCCTTTGTTTTTTTTCCTTATATAGAATATATAGTTTCTGTGCGCAACTCCTCCTACATTTCTCAACGGATTTTGACCAAACTTTCACAGAAGCTTTGTCATCAAGTGCCCTGGCGCATATTGTCGGGGTTTTGCGATTAGATAATATTTGACCTAATTATGGCCCTTTGTTTTTTTCCCTTATATAAAATATATAGTGAACAATTTCTTCTGTGCGCAACTCCTCCTACATTTCTCAACGGATTTTGACCAAACTTTCTCAGAAGCTTTGTCATCAAGTGCCCTGACACATATTGCCAGGGTTTTGCAATTGGTATATATTTGACCTTATTATGGCCCTTCGTTTTTTTTTCCTTATATAGAATATATAGTGAACAATTTCTTCTGTGCGCAACTCCTCCTACATTTCTCAACGGACTTTGACCAAACTTTCTTAGAAGCTTTGTTATCAAGTGCCTGGCACATATTGTCGGGGTTTTGTGATTGGAAAATATTTGACCGAATTATGGCCCTTTGTATATTTTTTCCTTATACAGAATATATAGAGAACAATTTCTTCTGTGCTCAACTCCTCCTACATTTCTCAATGGATTTTGACCAAACTTTCACAGAAGCTTTGTCATCAAGTGCCCTGGCGCTCACTAAATTCCCATGTTTCTTCCAAGACATCATTCAAGTATTTTTTTAAAATTGTGAACATACTTTTCTTGATATCGCACAAAACACCACACGCCAATATTGTTGACGAAAGAAAATGACAAGAGACGCAAAAATGCAAAAATTAAGCAAAAATAAAGTACTGTTTACCTTTCTAAACATTTGGGGAAAAAAGGCGAATAGACAACATAAAATTTCTCAATCATTTTTGTTTGAGGAATATTAAAAAAGCCATAATTCCTCCTAAAAGTTTAATTAAAAACAAATGCCCCTTCATGACAAAGCTTCTGTGAAATATTTTGCTGAAAACCTGGTTGCATCGCATTGCGATGTTCCTTGTTTACTTCTATTATCATGAATATCATCTATGCATCTAAGCACGGCATAGAGATCCAGTTTCTACTGGGATATACAATAAATTCTATACTTTGTCCCAGGTTTATTAGTACTGTGTTCGATTTACTGGCGAACAATTTATTCAAACCATTCACTGATAATATATTTTATTATCTTTTTTATTGATTCATAGAGAAATAATCATCCTTAGACAACCTAAAATGGTTTAGAAATTTGTCAGGGACACCTTACCACAAGTCATATATAGGCGTTCACATAAAAAATGTTGTCTGTTTTTGTTGTTGTTTTACTTGACATTGTTAGAAAACGAGGTTGAATGTAAAGCAAGCCCTTGAATCCGTACAAAGTCCATAAACTCAATGTAATATCTATCAGATTAACGGGACAGACAAATTATTTTCACACATTATGGATATTTTAGCAACTACATTTTTAATCAACCCCGTGGTCGTGCGATTTACCGCTATGCTTAATTATTTATGTTTCATACATTATGTTACGTACATTGGCCGACAATTTCTTATTTTATAAAAAAGGCTTAATAAAAGGTAGACGATATTCGGTATTTGTACGATACATGAATTACGAGTAGTATGGACCAGTATGGACCGGTAATTCACGCATATATGGAACTACCGATTTCCCTCATTGATGCCTCAACAGGGGGCGGAGCGTTATCGATAATTGACAGGTTACGCGAATAGCAGATAAAAATGGTACAGGTACCGTTTTAAAACATTTAAAAACACATTTTTTGGACTAACTGCTTCCAAAATTAAATCACGAATGTGTTCAGAAAAGATGGATAAATCTACTAGGCAAAAAATCTCATTTTAGGTATTTTCAGTGATAATTGACTCTGTTGTCACCTTAAGATAATAATTATCAAATTAAGAATAAGTTCACTGATAGTAAACATTTCCTCCTAGAAATATGTGTTGGTACAAAGGTCAAGTATCATGTGTTTGATATGAATGATCATAGTTTCTTATTTGTGTGTCTGTATGTAATACTGTCTATTTTATTACCAAAACATAGAGCTATTATAATTAATTCATGAACACAAATGTTCTCTGCTACAACATATTTAAACTTGAATTCTAGCTTAGCCATATATATTTCTCTATTTATCTTGTTTCTTTTAGTGTAAATAAATAGTAAAACATGTGTATTTATTTATATATATATTTTTTTGTCTTTAGGCATTAGCAAAGTTTGTAAAGAAGCGAGACAAAAGAGTCCAGGAATATAAGGTAACTTATAAGTGTTAGTTTATTACTAAGTTGTTTTTTATGCCACTGGATCAGTAGATTTGGAGGTCTTGTTGTTTCCGGTCAGTACTTTTGTTTTCTGTCACTTGACCATAACACTGCAGTCCTTCCACTTACCACCTCCACAGGTGCATGTACCTTGATAAGTCCCTATTAGAGGTCAAAGGTCACAAGGGAAAAACCCTTCGGGCATGTCGTTCATCTGAATTCTTATTGTAACTTTTTTTCTGATTATTTGTTGCAAAAGTCCTATACTTGTGTAGATACTTTATTGTATTATCAGGTGTAACATGTTTGTTTTTCCCTATTGGCTGTATGTATGTTTAAAGCTATGGTTTTTGTGGTCAAGTGAGTAAGGTTGTTGACTTTTAATCTCTTACTGGGTAGATTTGAACCCTGCCAGGAATGTTGATATCCTTTATGTTGGGAAACTAGTTAAGGTAAAAGAAGGTGGTTCTACTTCTGTTGCCAGGTTTTGTCTGAAATAATGTATAAAAAATACTGATTTTTTTACCACAACATACGCTGAAAAGTTGACATGTGACATGAAAATGTTGTTGCAGCTTATATCTTGACTAAAAATAATAAATAGAAACGAAAATTTTAAAGACAAAAAAATGTTACAGACTTGAGCACAATTGAAATATCATGTTATTATTATCATGTTATTATTTTTAAAAGAAAAAGTTAGAGGAGAGAGCAGAAGAAATTAAACAGAAAGCAAAGGAACAAAGAGAAAGACATCTGGAGGAAGGGAGGAAGTATGTTTATTTCTTGCTGTATTCATAAACTTATCCAAAATGATATTTGTTCATCTTTTGTTCGATAAAAAAATATCAGGTTTCATATACAATAAGTAATAGGTAGATTAATTTTGTATGTAGACTAATATAGCTGTTGCATGTTATATTTGTTTAAATACTTTTACAAAATTTGCATTTATACTTTTACAAAATTTGCATTTCAGAATTTTGGATTTTATCATGTACCTGATAATTTCAGGAAAATGGAGAACTATAAAGAGGCAGCATGGTCTTCAGCATCAGGTCTAGAAGACCATTACAAAGAACTGGAGGCCAAATATGATGAACAGTTTAATGAAAGTAAGGGAACAATTCATGTTTTTATAAAAGAAATAAATAAGACAAATTTTGAAATTCTTAGCTGTAATAAACTTTATATCAAATGAATAATATTGTATGAATCCAAACAATTCAGATTTGTAAAAAGTATATTGAGCATAATGGAAAAAAGCTAAGATGATTTAAATCTTGGACTTTTTGTGGAAAAAAAATCTGGAGAAAGAGTGACCCCTTAGAAGCATGAATCACAAGACTATACATGGAAATTGCAGGCTTGGTTTGATTGAGTCTGTACATGAGGGATAATGTAAAAACCTTGTTAAAGGTAGCAAGTTTAGTGGTTAGTAATTGGGAGCTGTGGCCTAGTGGTCAAAGTGTCTGCCTGTCAACCTAAGGATCATGGGTTCAAGTGCTCAGGTCTCTACTTTGTTTACGTGTATGTAGGAAGCAGACTTGAAAGCAATTTATATAATTAGCAAGATCTTGTTTCTCATTGGAGCATAAATAAGTTTAAACTATCCGTGTTGGTTGATGTACATTATATATGTATTAAACATTTAGGTAATAGTGATGTTGAGGAAGACGGGGAAGAAGAAAACTACTATGATGATTTGTATTGTGTTGCCTGTGATAGAATGTTCAAAAATGAGAAAAGGTTGGTGAATTTCCTCTCTAAATACTGTGTCAGTAATGACATACCTATATGCCACAGAACCAGACCACTGCACGCTCAGTGCATCCTGACCTTACATCTTAACTTACTTTTGCTTTATTTTTGTAGCATTTTTGATATGAACAATGATTGATTGAAGGAGTTAATTTCATATTTACATCAGTAAAAAGAAAAAGTAAATATCAAAATTAAATTATGAAATTAAAAAAAAAATATTTTTTGATGTAGATGTTATGTCATCTGCAAGTATCATTAATCACCATTTTTTATTTGGAGCAAGAAAAGAAATGTGAGTACATTCTTATATGTCATGGAAATATTTTATTTTTCAAAGTTTCAAGAATCATGAGAAGTCAAAGAAGCATAAAGACTTGGTTGCTATCATAAAAGCTCATCTAGCAGAAGAAGAGGAGGAGTTAGGTGAAGAAATGGGTGGAGACACAGACAGATTGACATCTGAGGTTCCTGAGGAGGAGGAGGAGCCTGAAGAAAACAATGCACCTCAAAGGTTCGATTAAAAACTTTTAATTTCTGTGATGTCAATATTGTATCTGTATTGAAGATTTCAAAAAAAAAAATAGAATATAAAAAAATTGCTAGTTGGAAAGTTATTACTTAAAGTACCCTTTAGTATTGGAATTGTGCAAAACATTTTTTTTTCGGTGTTATTGAAACAGAATTTTTTTATAAATCTGAACACACATGAATTGTCCCAAAGATGTTTAAATGAAATATATCTGTCATTAACTTTTTTTGATGTATGTGGAAAATTTTATGTCATTTATAGACTGTCTAAGAAGCAGAAAAAGAAAAGAAAGCAACAAAAGAATGCAGCTGAGGTTAGTATTATTGATTAACTTACGAGTATATATGATAAAAATGCTTGCAGAAGATAATTTCAGTTGACAATACATAATGATAAAAAAAAATGTTGAGAAATTGAAAAACAGTCTCTTAGCAGTTTTGAAAAGAAATGATCATATGGAAAGGCTGCGGTGTATATCAATCTTGGAAGTGTGTTTATTGACCTCAAATAAGTAAGTTTTAGCTTGGCAGGGCATTATTTTTCTTCATGTTAATTTTTTAGGTGTTGCTATGTAAAATCCATTAAATCTATACATGAAGTGTTTTAAAAGTATTGTTAAGTGGAAAATAAATTTAACCAGTTACATTTTAAAGTTTGTTTTTTGATTAATGGATTTTTACCCCATATTTTTAAACCTTTTGATGTTATCCCAAAAAATTTAGATTTTAAATTGATGCTGGAATAAATTGTTGAAAAAAAATCAGACTTGTAGTTTAATACAACACTTGTTTAGTTTCAAAAAAGGCTTTTAATTTTTGGGAAAATTTTAAAATTTGGAAAAAATTAACTGAAAAAAACAAATTTAAAAAATTGCACAAAGGTTGAAGGTTAATTTGTTGTATTGGGGGCCCCAAAAATATTTAAAAATGTTGAAATTAAGGAAACTTTATTAAATGGTTTTAAATTTTTTCCTTTTCATTTATAGGCCAGCAATGCAAACAGTGATAATGTAGAAAGTGTTCCTTCTCAGCCAAATATTGAGGAAAACACCAATAAAAGGTAAGGTTATTACCATCAAAGATATTCTCTTGTAATTGGAATTACTTGCTCAATAAAAATAAAAATCCATTCCAGTAGGGAAAGTGACTGCAGTAATCATTTTAACACAGTTATGACCCCTATTCTGTAAAAAATTATCGGTGTTGGTTAAGTTTTATATTAAAGCAGCACCCTCCAGATTAATGCTTATTAAAATTTTGAAAATAAAATTAAATGTATATTATTGTATAGTAACCAAAAGAAATCATTTTACACATTATCATTGCCACTAGCAACCCACGTTAAATACAAAAAGAGGTCAAAATATGCAAAAATGCCCTTACTGCGTTAGTAACACAGTAGAAATATACATGTAGTTACACATAATGAAAAAAATTCACCATTAATTGCTTATAACATGCAAATTATTACTTTGAATCTTGAATCTTTCTACTTTGCCAAAAAATCTTAGTACATTTTTCACAAGTTTGATTTATTGAAAATATTTTCGCCTCATCTGGAGGCATGCCTGCTTAAAGGGCTCGTTTTTTATCCAAAACCATTAAAGAAATTAATCATTATCTTAGTTCATTGTTCACTATCAACATTTTCATTTGGCAAAATTGTGGGAAAGAGGATTATGCCTGTTTATTCAGTTAGTAGTATTAAGAAGAATTAAAGTCTTAAACTGCAAATTGACATTTTTCATTTATATTTAAAATGTATTTGATGGAATTGCATTTTTCATTTATATTTAAAATGTATTTGATGGAATTGCATTTTCATTTATATTTAAAATGTATTTGATGGAAGTGTGTTCCAACATGTGTTCATTTACTTTTCTTGCAGTAAGTCAAAGCGAGAAAAGAGACGGGAGAAGAAGAACAAGTTTCTGATAGTTTAAGGGGGAGAAGGTATTTAGAATATTTCTTACAACAATCCCCTTATTGGGAAAAGCTCAAATTTTTTTGATTTGGTTGTTTTTTGCCCCAAAACCTGTTGTTTTTCTAATGTTTTCCAGCTTCCCATTTTTGAAATTTTCCTTTTAGAAGGTTGTCAATAAAAAAAGAGGTAACGCAAGATTACAGGGCCCCGCTTTTACTTGAGGTGGGCTAACATTTTCTGTTAAAAAAGGCTTTTTGTGCTCTCGTAATTAGAAAATATTTGTAGTGTCTTAATAAACATTTTTTTCAAAGTATTAAAAAATGAATCATTTTTTTTAAATTTTGAAAATGAACCTATTATTTTTTTTGTAAACAGAATGTTTTATAAGTGCCATTTGCATGTAGAATTTTTTCATTTGATTTTTTTTGCCAATTATTAAATTGTTTTTTGTATGGTATCCCCGCCTGTCACTGGAGTACATTTATTTTTAAAACCCACCACTACCATCTATTGGTAAAAAAATTGGGTTTTTGTGACAATGTCCTGTTTTGTTTTTTTCAGGGGGTTATTTTTGATGATGACCCTGAAACAAATGAAAAAGGGAGAAAATAAAAATGTTGGGGAAAGGGGAAATTTAATCGGGGAAACAAAAAAGTGTAGAAAAACCTATATTAGAAAATTTTTGGGGCGACTGTTTTTAGATGTGCCCCAGTGATTCGGGTAGTCCAAATTGGACAAAAAGTTGAAGATTTTCCTCTGAACAGATCCATATACAAAAAAATAAAAAGAAGAAACAAAAGAGCAAGCCAGATCCGAATCAGAAACCAGTAAGTAAATTTTACAAGTTTATATTATTTTATTTGACTAGCAAGCAAAAGAAGCCCAAGTGCTATGTTATTAACTAGTAAAATTATAAGTCCTTAGGTGATAGTTGAAACCTTACTGCTTTTAATTTGTGGTTACCAAAATGGCAAAAATCATTTTAAACAAGTTCTTATTGTATTTATCAATGGTACTTATGAAACAAACAGAATATCCTACAATAGTAATTTAAGTAAACACAGGGTCATAAATGTTTAAAATTAATGAAATTCAATCCTAGTATATGATAGACTGCATAATAGGAAGTTGATGATTTAATTTGTTATATAAACTTATTTGACTCCTGTAAAGTTTACAGTACACACATTTTATTCTTTATTTCCAGGGAGCCTGTGCAATTTGTCATGCAGAGTTTCCATCAAGATCTAAATTGTTTGACCATATAAAAGAAACAGGACATGCAATGTTGAAAACTGCTCCAGATATGCAAGAACAGTCTTTAATAAAAAAGGGAAAAAAAAACAAAAAAGAAAGGGGGAAAAGATACAAAAGGAATTTGATAGATATTATTTTTTTTTCATTTTTAAACAAAAAAAAGTTGAACAAAATTATTAATGTCTTTATATAATTTTTCGCATTTAAAAAAATTTTGGGGAACAAAATGAAAAAAGGATATTGAAGTTTTGGAAATTTTTTCAGGTTTAAATTTTCAGAAAATATTGTTTCAAACCCCGAAATTTTGTCTGGGGTTAAACCTGTTCGGGATTCTAGATAGTTAAATAGTCAAATTTTTATTTAATTGCATGCAAGGAAAAATGAAAAAGTTACATTGTAATGGTTATTTTATTCTTTAAATTATTTAAGGGGAAATTTTTTTCTCATTTACATGTTACCCGAATAGGTTAGTTTTTTTATATGATATATTCATCTTTTTCATGATTTAACTTTTTTTTTTAAAACTGATGCAAAATTTGCCTTTTCGTACAGTATGAAAAATAAATTTTAATTGAAGCATTTAGTTTAAACTTAAAATTTAAAAAATTGCCATTTTTTAATATTAAAAAATTTTCATTTTAAGATTTTAATAAATTGGTCCATTAAATAACTTTTAAGTAAGTATCAAAATTTTTAAAATACTATCTTAAATGGAATGTCCCTTTTCCAACCAAGAAGCCCTTCTCATTTTTAGGGGGAAAGAACATTACCGACCATATGATCGGGGGCAATGTATTCTGTCTTGGTCGCATAGGGTAAACCATTGCCATGTAAGCAACTTTTAAAAATTTTTTTCAATTTTTTACCAAAAAAACATTTTTGTTACTTTTTCGCATTTTAAAAAAGTGGATGTTGTAAAAAGTCTTAGAAATTCTTTCTCAAGGGCAAAGAAAAAGAAAAAATATCGTTTGATGCAATGTATGTTTATCACTTTTACCATGATTTCCATAGCCACTCAAGGGGGCAAATAAAGTCTCAAAAGTGATTAAAAAAATGTGTTTCCGTATTTCATTTTAGAACAATAAGTTGTGGGATCAATAACCAAAAAATTAATCATGATTTTTCCGATTCATTCAACAAACAAGCTCCGTATTGAGCATACATTCATTCTTATCTTTAAACAAACAAAGTTTTAATTTACGAAACTGAATGTAAAAATGCGATAAAAGATTATTGTCATAATTGTTAGTCGAGGATTTTGTTATTTTCTCCACCATGAAAATGTCTGTATAGATTCTGGTTTAAGAGTATATGTTATCACTGAATTTCCGTCAACCAACTTTATTGCAACCTCTTCAGAGGACATGTTTTCCATAATTACTACAATAGACCCGTCAGGACGCAAAAAGGCAACAGCTCGTGCAGCTGGCGATATGGCTCCGTCTGACTTGAGACCTATTGCGACCGATCCAGGGGGTAGAAATTCTAAAAGACCCTAAAGTAAAACATTGGGTTTTTGAAATTCCCTTTCTTTGATGCGTTTTACAAAATTTGGGCGTCAGCATTTTATTTACCCAGCTTTGGGCCCCCCCGAATGTTTGTAAATTATAGTGCGTGTTCCCCGACATAATTATTAAAACTTTGGAAAAAGTGCTTGCCCCAATTTTCGGGTCTTTTCCCCAATTCCCAAATTTAACGGGTTTTCATCCTATGGACTAAATTCAACCCTTAAATTTTTATCCCGGAATTTTGCAGTGTTTTTGTAGTAATGACGGACTATTTTAGCGCGTGACCGTAAGCAAAACCATTTAAAAGCCTCCCTCATATGATCTGCCAAGGGGGAATTTTTCTATTAATTCCCTCACAAAACGATATGACGTACCCGTATTCATTTAAAGAAGGTTTCAGATCGCGCACGACCCAATCGCTCATATTTTTAGCATTCCAGCACACGGATTGATACTGAGGTTGGCTTGTATTACTGCAGCTCCGGACAGGGCCGCTCTGGGTGGTTATTCCCCACATTCTTCCGTGAAACATGAACGACTCATATTCTTGTAAAAATCTTCCTAGATAATTGGCATACACCTTTGCCATATCATCGGCTATTGTCCCATACCCCACCATATTTCCATTCGTTTTCATCCAACTCGGCGAACTCCACGGACTTCCAAAAAGCGAGATATTTCTTCTGCTAGCAAGAACAGCCTGATCAATGTAGGGTAATTTGTAAATATGGTCATTGCCATCAATTGTAAATTTAGACAAACCGGTATCACCATTAGTAAAGTCGTATGAATAAACGTCCGTTGACATATCATTACTGGCAATAGGTATTCTACCTAGTGTGTATTCGATGCCGTCCGGACTGAAATAAGAGTTGATCAGATTATTTTGGACATCTTTAAAAAGGCTAGCAACATTTATTCCGCTAGCAGGTAAAAATTCCGCCAAAAAGTTTATGCTGTCTGGTTTCGGCTATGTCAACCAAAATTTAAATTTTCCGTTTTATTTGGGTTTTTTTTGGCTCTAGTTTTCCTCGTAAAGCGTTTGACGAACCTTTTTTTCAAACGGATTTCCGGGGGTTTTGTTTCTAACCCCAAATTTTTCTGGGGGAAAATACGGGGTTTTCCCGTTCACGAGGTTTAATTACAAAAACACCTTTTAACAAACTTTAGGAACAATGGGGGAAACCTTTTCCTTCCCACAGTTTTTTAAAATTAAAACGAGTTGATATGCAGGATTTTTTCAAATTATAGCCCTCTTTTTTTTTACCAACGGGGAATAATTTGTAATCTCTAAAAAATCAACATTTTTTTTGATTAATTTTGCACGGATATTTAACCTTTTCTTAAAAATAAATGAGATGTTTTATAATATAAAAATTTCACATAGTAAGAGAAACCGCCTGTTTTCCGGCATGAGTGGATATTTTACCCTTCGGTACATATTTGTACATGTATTTTTGTATATATTTTCACAAAAATCAGTTTTTTGTGACAAACCATGTATTGCACGACAGTTTGACCAAGATTCTGTCGTCTGCGTATGCAACGCTACATACTGTGATACTTTCGGAAGCGCGATACCACACCCAGGACCTGCAAATCCTTATGCTTATTGGTATGCAACGCTGACGTCAAGAGATGGATTACGACTTAGCGGACGATCGGGTTCGTTTGGCTCAAACCAGCTAAATAGATACGTTTTCACTGTTGGCAATGAGACAGCACAACAAATTCTTGGGTTCGGCGGTGCTTTCTCAGACGCTACTACAATAAATATGAACAATTTGTCAGCAAAGGCTCGGGTTAAACTTATAGAGTCGTACTTCTCAGCTAATGGAATAGAATACAACATTGGACGCATTCCTATGGCGAGCAATGATTTTTCTACAAGACTTTATTCGTATGCCGATTCGGTGGGTGATTTGGAACTGAAACACTTTAACCTAACAGTTGAGGACATCAGTTACAAAATTCCTGCCATTAAAGAGGCAGTAAGGCTCAGCAGACGAAAGATATCATTAATCGGAAGCCCCTGGAGTTCTCCATTTTGGATGAAAAGTAATAATAACATGACTGGAAGTGGTACCATTAAAGGTGCACCTGGAGGCGAATATAACAAAGCATGGGCGAAATATTTCGTAAAATTTCTTGAAGCGTACAAAAACAATGGCATAAGTATTTGGGGTCTTACAGCGCAGAATGAACCGAACGACGGAGACATCAAAGACTTTCCGTTGCCATGTCTTGGCTGGACACCCGAACTTCAGCGGGATTTTATAGGAGAAGATCTAGGACCAGCACTTGAAGCTGCAGGGTTTGGTCACGTGAAACTCATGATTTTAGATGACCAAAGAGCGTTCTTGCCTTACTGGGCAGATATTGTGCTCAATGGCACAAAAGCTTCGAAATATGTCTCCGGAATAGCTGTTCATTGGTATGAAGATTTGATAGTACCAACATGGACCCTTGATGCTACGTATCAGCAGTTCGGAGAAAACTTTTTCATCCTCAACACTGAAGCAGGCATAAAAGACAAACTTAATGGGAACAAAACAGTTTTACTCGGAAACTGGGATCAAGGTGAACATTATTTCACAGATATCATACAAGACATGAAACACGGAGTATCAGGATGGGTGGATGGCAACATGGCCCTTGACATGAGAGGAGGTCCCAACTTAGCAGACAATAGTGCTGAAAGTCCTATAATTGTAAATGCCGAGAAAGATGAGTTCTATAAACAGCCCATGTATTATGCCATGGCCCACTTCAGTAAGTTCGTTTCCCCGGGATCAAAAGTACTTGCGCATGAATTTAACGGTGAAGATGATTCGGGCTTTGACGGAGTATTTTTTGTACAAGATGAGACATCGATTACGGCAAACTTTGTAAACACAAATGAGCAAGGACAGGATATTTCCATAATAGACCCAACTATGATTGGAAATATTAATTTCCACATGCCTGCAAAAAGTTTCGTTACGTTTAGCTGGTTCCGAGAATAATTTGACTATAAAGCACCTTTTTCGCCTATATACCGAATAAACATTTAAAACCTTTATTCTTTGCTAATAAATTTAATCTTAAAGGATTTAACTTGTTAATGTAAGTTTTATCACTCACTATCACCCGTTGGTTAAATTTGTAAATCTATCGTTTCCCTATCAAAGGATATGCTTTTTGCAATGTTAAATATATTCAAAGTGACCTTTTTATTTCTCGTAATTATGAATATACATGTTTAATCCATATAACAACAATTTCCCTAACCTAATTCACTACACTATTATTACATATCTGCTAGCTTGCGAAGGGCTGTGGTTCTACTCAGGTGCCCTTTCATGCTTTGAAATGTCGCCATATTATTTCTAAAGTGCCCACGCGACTTTAAATGCAATAAAACAAACAGATAGACAGACAGACATCGTCATGCCCTTTAGTTAACATCGATGGTGCAAAGTAGCGACATACATGTATTTATTTTTAGGATTACAACCGAAATACAATTTTATGGCATGTGATCGTTCAGCTTGCATTTTAAAAGCTTTATTGTTTTTAATCATTTGTGATATTTAATATTTGTTTAATCATTATATATTTTTCTCTTTCTGTACAAATGGTAAACATGTTGTAATAATGGATTTAAAACAGATGAGATAATAAATCAGCTAAGTAAAATAGCGCGGAAATTTTCAAGTTTAAGAAGCATGCATGTGTTAAAATATTATCATGCATATGAAAGTTTAATTTTGCTGATGTAATAAAAGGTTTTGCAAAATAAAAATGTGTTCTGTTATATGTTACAGCCCCCTATGAAAAGGAAAGCCCGACTTTGAGCCGGGCTGCACATCCGCCGTCGAGCCGACATGGGATGCCGATATCGGGCCGACATTGCAGATGATGTCGGGCCGACATCGGTCCTATATGTAGTTTGCTGGGTATTGTGTGTTTTGGAATAGCCTTAAATGAGTGTTTAAATAAAACTGCATACTATTATGCACTTATCAACATAATTAATTTCTAGACGAAATTTAGAAAAAAAAAGTAATAATCTTTGTTCAAACTTATAATATATTTGAGCTTATTCTAAAACTATGCAATTGATGGTATAACTCCGATTGTAGCGTTACTTTCATCACACTTTTTTGCGCATGTGAATAAATTTTGTTCGCTTTGTTTGCACCCGCACTGCCAAGTCCGTGGTGGAATGAGTAAGTCGTTGACTTCACACCACTTGTCACTCACCGCTTGAGGTTCGAATCCTGCCCGGGACTTTGATTATTGTATGTGAGGAAGTACGCGGTACCGAGCTAGCGTATGGAACGTCTGTGGTTCTACCAGGAACGTATTGCAACCATTCTCTGGTTGGTACTGTTCTTGCCTTTAATAATGCACGGAGGGATATCTTATGTCTTCTTCCACCAGTAAAAACTGGAAAGTTACCATATGGCCTAAACTATATAAAGTTGCGATCTTTGTCGGTTAATTAGCATCTATTTTCCTAACATGTCAAACCATCACAATTTAAGATCGTACATAGGCAAAATTACAAAAAAAGATATATGAATTATGATTTTGCGCTTATAGAAAATATGTTTATATAAACTTACATTTACAACAGCCGGGATATTATGGTGGGTTATTGAAAATAAATAGGATCAGGCTCTATCTTATGAATTAAGTATTTCTGCCAAGGATGCAGTTGATATGCAGTTTCCTTTATCTTTTTATTTGGGGTTTTAACATTTCTTCTGATGAATCTAAGGGAGTTACAGTAAAAACCCTCAATTAAGACCATCATTTGGACTGGACCAAAATGGTCTTAATTGCGGAGTGATCTTAAATGTTGATATTCTTATCATTGCTTACACAATTTATGACTATGGTCTATTTTAGTCATTTTGTATGAACAAACAGTATGTATCTTAACCTGTAAATACAATATAAAAGTATGTTATATTACTAAATCTGATGGAAAGAAAACATATTTCTGAAGAAAATTAATATATCTTGGTCTGATTTCAATATTGATTATTATATGACGTACATAATTCACCTATCAAATAAGAAATTAATTCTTCGTTTAAAATAACATTTATTAACGTACCACTATAAAATTTACTTTTTCACCTTAAATTATTTCATACAATATCACAAAAATAACAGTTTCTGACACCTTGTGAAATCAAGCGTCATACCTTAAAGTATTCAAGCAGATAATAACAACATAACAACAAATTTAAGATCTAATTAAGTAGATGTTGACTTTAATATCAATGGTCTCAATAGTGGGGTCAAATAAAGAACAAAACAAAGAATTGGGACTGAATCTGGTGGTCTTAAAAGTGGATAAGCGAGGTGGTCTTAAGTCTGGATCATGTAACCATTGACATAAAGAACAGTTCTAAAATTCCGTTCTTTTTTTTTAAATGGTCTTAATAGCGGGTGGTCTTAATTCCGGGCTGGTCTTAAGTAGGGATTCTACTGTATTTGCCTTTGATGTAATTTTGTTTATATGTTTGGTCCATGAAAAGTCTTGACTAATAGTGATTCCTAAGTATTTTGCTTCTTATGTTGATTTAAGTTGGATATTATTGAGGTAGTATAAGGAAAATTTACAGGGTTTCTTTTTCTTGTTATTCTGAGTACTTCACATTTATCAGGGTTTACTCCATGGACCTGTATTTTTTCTATATTTCTAATGCATGTAGGTCATCTTGAAGAGTTTGGGCATAGAATAGAATAGAAAGCTAGGGTGTTCCTATAATTATAATACGTTAACAGTATGTTGTTGGTGTTACCCTGACAGACTGTAGACCTCTAAACAGATGATTGTTCCAAAACATGTTTTGTTACATATAAATTAAATCAAACTATCAATTAAACAAATATAAACTAACAGATACACAAAGATTTTCGATAATTTAAGAGAAGTGTTTTCCTCAATTATTAAAAGTTTTTAGTTTTCGAATAATATTGAGTACGAACTGGGATGGATTTTACAAGAGTGATTTCCCTTGTCAGTGCCCTTCCTCCATTTTTGTCGCAAACATGTCTCTCTGTCGGCAGCTTGTTAGAGGTCCACGTCTGCTCGCACAGTGTCAGAGGCTAGCTGTACTTAATCAGCAAAGATGTAATGAAAGCACAGATGCGGACAAAATGAAATTGACATTTGCATCCCCTGGGAGGGTAAGCTATTCAGTTCAAATAATGTTAAATTTCGTGGGTGGGGTAAAATTTATCGGAGTTGATATGAAAAAAGGTTTCTTCCAGTTATGTTATGATCTCGACATCACAATGGTGACATTGGTTTTTATGTATAGGAAGATGAATTTTCATTAATTTTAAGATTTTTCAGCTGTTAACTTGTTTCATTACCATAGATTAGAGAGTCCAGTGAAATTCACAGGACGTTTCTTTGTGATATTTTTTACTCTTTAAAACAGCCAGCTTTTGGGGGTTTCCAAAATAATATATAATTTACAGTAATGGTCTTATAATATCTCATGTTTATAGGATGGATTCCAGTTACGTCACACAGAGTCATAGATACAGCTCTGCATTTACTAAAAATTTGACCATAATAGCAAGGAAGTGGCTAGCCAAAAGTTCTAGCTGAACGTGAGTCACGTAGGACTAGCCTGGACACACTGTATTGTCTAGCTGTACAGCACTTTTTAAAATTATATGAAAGTCGAAAATGCATATGTTCATTTGTGTCTTTAACTCATTCGACCCGTACGCCGAGTATAGTCGTCGTCTTTATCTGTTATCGTGTACCGCGCGCCGAGTATAGTCGTCGTATAAAATTTATCGGCTATCCCGCATGACGAGAGAAGTCGTCGCGTATTGAACTACTACTGTATACCGCGTGACGAGTTATGTCGGCGCATTTCATTGGTTGTTTCGACAGGTTATATTTAGATTTGAGGTATTTTGACCAATCAGGAAACGCGTTATATGTATAGTATAAAGGTTTACCTATATGAAAGTGAAAATTTTATCGAAATATCTCTATCTGAAAAAAAGTTATATTGCATTAAAAAAATGGAAAATCGGAAGAATTTATTTGACATTATGTTTGATACGGCCACGGAAAATGGCGCAAATTCGGATTGTGACATTAGTCTCGATAGTGAAAGTGAGATAGAATCAATCTGATAGATCGAGTGACAGTCAAAGTGAAAATGAAAGTGCGGACAAAAATGTGAAATATTCTCAGTGGAAGACAAACGATCGGTCAGAATTGCCTAAGAGACCATTCACAGGCCCAAATCCAGATCTTGATCGGATTCAAATGAATTTGATTTCTTTGAACTGTTCTTTTCTGTGTTTCTGATTGAGCTACTTTGTAGAAAGTAATTTTGATTTTGTTTACAAAAATATTTAGTGTAGCTGATGACCTTTTTTTCATTCCTTTTTATCAAGAAAAGTAACATAATTGAAAGCTCTAGAAAAATAAGAGTAACTGTTCTAATGTAAGAAATACAAAAATGTAAATACCTTACAGTTTTTGTATTTATTTTGTAATTATTTTTATGCCCCCATTTCGAAGAAAAGGGGGTATATTGCTTTGCACTTGTCGGTCCGTCGGTCCGTAGACCAAATGGTTTCCGAGTGATAACTAAAGAACCCTTTGGCCTAGGAACTTCAAACTTGGTATGGTGATTGGTCATGACAAGTAGATGACCCCTATTGATTTTGGGGTCAAAGGTCAAGGTCACATTGACCTTGTAAGCAAAAACGGTTTCAGATCAATAACTAAAGAACCTTAAGGCCTAGGAACTTCAAACTTGGTATGGTGATTTGTCATGATCAGTAGATGACCCCTATTGAATTTGGGGTCAAGGGGTCAAAGGTCAAGGTCACATTGACCTCTTGGGTAAAAACGGTTTCCGATAAATAACAAAAGAACCCTTTGGCCTAGAAACTTCAAACTTGGTATGGTGATTGGTTATGACCAGCAGATGACCCCTATTGATTTTGGGGTTAAGTGGTCAAAGGTCAAGGTCACATTGACCTCTTGGGTAAAAACGGTTTCCGATCAATTACGAAAGAACCCTTAGGCCTAAGGACTTCAAACTTGATATGGTGATTGGTCATGATCAGTAGATGACCCCTATTGATTTTGGGGTTAAGGGGTCAAAGGTCAAGGTCACATTGACCTTGTAGGTAAAAACGGTTTCCGATCAATAACGAAAGAACCCTTAGGCCTAGGGACTTCAAACTTGATATGGTGATTGGTCATGATCAGTAGATGACCCCTATTGATTTTGGGGTCAAGGGGTCAAAGGTCAAGGTCACATTGACCTCTTAGGTAAAAACAGTTTCCGATCAATAACTAAAGAACCCTTAGGCCTAGGAACTTCAAACTTGGTATGGTGATTGGTCATGATCAGTAGATGACCCCTATTGATTTTGGGGTCAAGGGTCAAAGGTCAAGGTCACATTGACCTCTTAGGTAAAAGCAGTTTCCGATCAATAACTAAAGAACCCTTAGGCCTAGGAACTTCAAACTTGGTATGGTGATTGGTCATGACCAGCAGATGACCCCTACTGATTTTGGGGTTAAGGGGTCAAAGGGCAAGGGCACATTGACCTTGTAGGTAAAAATGCTTTCCGATCAATAACTTAAGAACCCTTAGGCTTAGGGACTTCAAACTTGATATGGTGATTGGTCATGATCAGTAGATGACCCCTATTGATTTTGGGGTCAAGGGGTCAAAGGTCAAGGTCACATTGACCTCTTAGGTAAAAACAGTTTCCGATCAATAACTAAAGAACCCTTAGGCCTAGGAACTTCAAACTTGGTATGGTGATTGGTCATGATCAGTAGATGACCGCTATTGATTTTGGGGTCAAGGGGTCAAAGGTCAAGGTCACATTGACCTCTTAGGTAAAAGCAGTTTCCGATCAATAACTAAAGAACCCTTAGGCCTAGGAACTTCAAACTTGGTATGGTGATTGGTCATGACCAGCAGATGACCCCTACTGATTTTGGGGTTAAGGGGTCAAAGGGCAAGGTCACATTGACCTTGTAGGTAAAAATGCTTTCCGATCAATAACTTAAGAACCCTTAAGCCTAGGAACTTCAAACTTGGTATGTTGATTGGTCATGACCAGCAGATGACCTATTGTTTTTAGGGTCAAGGTGTCAAAGGTCATGTAACATTGACCTTGTAGGTAAAAACGGTTTCAGATCAATTAACTAAAAACGCTTAGGCCTAGGAACTTCAAACTTTGTATGATGATTGGTGGTGACCAGCAGATGACCCCTATTGAGTTTTGGGTCAAGGGGTCAAAGGTCAAGGTCACATCGACCTTGTAAGTAAAAAACGGTTTCTGATCAATAACTTAAGAACGCTTAGGCCTAGGAACTTCAAACTTGGTATGGTGATTTTTCATGACCAGCAGATTACCCCTTTCGATTTTGGGATCAAGGGGTCAAAGGTCAAGGTCACATTGACCTTGTAAGTAAAAACGGTTTCTGATCAATAACTAAAGAACGCTTCGGCCTAGGAACTTTAAACTTGGCATAGTGATTGGTCATGATCAGCAGATGACCCCTATTGATTTTGGGGTCAAAGGTCAAGGTCACATTGACCTTGTATGTTAAAACGGTTTCGGATCAATAATAAAAGAACCCTTAGGTCTAGGAACTTCAAACTTGGCATGGTGATTAGTCATGACCAGCAAATGACCCCTATTGATTTTGGGGTCAAGGGTCAAAGGTCAAGGTCACATTGACCTTGTTAGTAAAAAACGGTTTCTGATCAATTAACTAAAAACGCTTAGGCCTAGGAACTTCAAAACTTTGTATGATGATTGGTCTTGACCAGCAGATGACCCCTATTGAGTTTTGGTCAAGGGGTCAAAGGTCAAGGTCATGACCAGTAGATACTTGATAACCCTTATTAATTGTTTGATCACTGGGTCAGAAGTCATGCATAATTACCATATCACATGAATAATTGGCTGCTGATAGGGGGCATACATGTTTTACAAACATATCTTGTTATATTATTATTATATATAATTTTTATAATTATTATATATAATTTTGAAATTATGTAAAATTAATCCACACATATAACAATTTTCATTCATATTTCATATATGGATTATTTTTTCCGGCTAATATTTTCTTATTTTTAGACCCAGTAGTAAAGATATATTATTTATTGTTTTCTTTGAAATTTTCTTAAAAAAAAACAACAGGAAAATAAAAGTTTTTTTTCAATGAATATGAATTTCTGATGTATATACACCTCTGCACCATAAATGTTACATTTCTTGTCTGTTTTTATGAGCTCCATAACATAATACTTATATTTGCTCATTAGTCATTACTATACTTATTTATTTGCATAATGCTTCCAAAGTATTCATTTCTAATTTGTAAATTAGCAGTAAATTTCTCAATATATTTTTTAAATTATTATATTATGGAGAAGAATGTTTTAATAGAAATTTATACAATAAATAAAGTTCTTTTATTACAAATAAACTGATTTTATGTTGAAAATCTTCTTTATTTTATTGAAAATAAATCAGTCCAACATGTTGCCATAGTGATGGAAGTTACACCACTGATTAGGTAATTTTATTGCCAACATTTATGTGTCATTTTCAGCTTGATTGGATTAAAAATGAGATTGCCAGAGGCACCCCCTATTATTTATGACCTGTCAATAAAACAGTGCAATATCCCTCAGGGAGACAGTTTAGATAAAATCAATAAGGTACCTAGGAGTTGGCTTATCAGTTATCAGTAGGGTTTAAGTGGTAGACAGTGTACAGGGTTGAATGAGTTAAACAAGGATTTTTACCAGTCTTTAAACAAGGATTTTTACCTCGTACTTTATTATTAAATATGCTTTGTAAAAAAAAAAGAAAAAGAAGGAAAATTATGATAGCGTTGTAATCACGATAAAAGTGTCAAAGTTACATTACGCATTATACAAATGACATGTATATGCATATGCAAAGTTATAACTATGATTAAATAATAAATAGTTTAAGTTATAACGTTTTTGTTTTTTATGATTATTTAAGATTTGTTGTTGTTTTTTATGTATGAAAGATGAATTATTAAATCAATTTTTGTTGATTAAGCACATGGAATGAATAATCATAACGGCCAAAGAAGCTTGTTTCATAATGGCATAGAGGTGCGCAGTTTAACCGGT